GCCTTCGACTTGGTGTAATGTCCTAATCCAGGCGTGAAAACGGTGGAAAACCTCTGCTTCAAGCGCATAGTGAGTGAAGAGTTCAATGCGTCGAGCGTCGATGAGGATACATTGCAGATAGAGCCCTCGTTTAAGCGCAGAAACAGAGGCTCATGCTAGATGATCCAGTCGAGACCCAGTAAAGAGTGTGTCGGCAACGTAACACTCACCCCGTCCGTGATGACCATCAATGACGAGATTGCACTTGTAGCATCCTCGAACGTTGATCGGCTCGTCGTTGGCAGACCTCAGTGTGATTCGAGGGGGTCGTAACGTCGGACGGCCCATAGCAATCCAGTCTGCATTGCTCAGTAGTGTGACATCGGCACCAGTGTCAAGTCGCATGCGTATTGTCTTCCCATTGATCTGAACTGTGCGGTAAATGCGGGATACGGAAGTGCTACCTGCATGCGTTGAGGCGACGACGACGTTGTTGGCTGTTTCACGCTTCCGTTTAGGTTTCTGCTTCCTCCTGCTCGTAAAGTTCTTGCAGAATTCTCGCTTGTGTCCGGAATTTCCGCTGTCGTGGCAGGTTTTGTCACGAAAAGAACGGACCCTTGACCAATGATTCGCTCCACAGCGAAAACATGGTGACGATTGGTCGCGCTTTCGGTTCTGAGAATTAGCGGCGTTGATGTGTGATGAAGCGGACCGCTCGGAAAGGGCTTGTCTTCCATCTTGCGAAGGGCACGGGCTCGGACATCAGCATCTTCGGGAGAGGCGAGTCCGCATTTCGAGAAGAGGCATTTCATCTGTTCTGGGTTAACGTCGTTGAATTCGGCCATCGCGTGTCGCCGGCTGACAAGTCCAGTATAGTCGCGAAGATTCCCACCATTGCGTTGAGTTTTCAGATATACGTAGCGGCGCGAGAAAACCGACGTGTTGTGTCCGAAAAGTTCCTTCAGCGTTGCTACGGTATCTGACAGCGATAGTTCACAAGCTCTTTTCGGTAGAATGTGGCTTGTGAAGCGAGCGTATGTGATGGCATCGAGCTTGGAGACGATTAGTCGAGCCTTTGCAGCTTCATCCAAGGCAGCGCCGTTCTTGGATATGACGTCTTCGTAGCGATTGTACCAGACCTCGAAGGTACAACCATTGACGGAATCGTATACGAATTCAGATAGACGCGTTGATAGCGAGTTCATCGCAAACTCGGATGCGTTGGCTGGAGACGCTAAAGCGGTCGAACGTGAGCCAGACATTCGTTCCATGTGGTTGACGAGTTCAGCGAACATCTCTTGCTGCATCCTGGCTTGGGCCTCTAGTATAGCCTGCAAACTTCTAACGTCCATTTCAATGTGTGACTAACCTCCCCGTCGGCTCGATTGCTGCTGCACTGATCGTTCTCGTCGTCTGCGTTGAAGCTTTTGAACTGGTCGCTCTCCTTGTCCGCGTTGAAGTCCACTGATCGTCAATTGTTGTAGGTGACCGCCAGTTGTTGTAGACGAGCTTCTCGTAGGCAGTCGAAGAACACAGTAGATATGTAGGTTTAATGGAAATAGCACCGGACAAACATAGAAAGTCGTAAAAACCTCTGGATGTTATTCAAACAGAGCTACGTACAATGCGCGGGTTTGCAAAGTCTATGATAGCATGTACAATTAATAACGCTCAGTAATACCCTGCAACAGGTCTTCTTTCGTTGTTTCAGTAATGAATACGTCATTAAAATAACAGGTTTGTAGGACAGGATTCCACTAGTTAATAGTGACTTCTCGATGTGATCCAAGAACACAGGTGCTATGCGATTACCCATGGCAAGGCAACGTTTTTGCTTGTAAAACTTACTGTCGAAGCAAAAGTTGTTGCACTCCAGTGCTGCTCCGATGAGATACTCATTTCGCTGGCGGAAAATCCCATCATTCTGATGTGTCTATATTGTCCTCGATGAGAGATAACACAGCTTGCACCGCTCCCGCGTTATCCACGTTCGTGTATAAGGGTATTGCATCAAAGCCCGCCTAGAAGGCTTCCGTCGGAACAGGACATTGGTGAAGCGACAACATGGTTTTTCAACATTAACAATGTGCATTCCACGTATCTCAAGAGTGGCGAGAGCAAATGGACTCGAAGCCAGCTTATTCCGTCTGCTGGTCCACCGCATCATGCGATAATCTGTCTTATCTTAATATTATTCATAGAGAGGGGCAGTGTGTTACCGGAATTTCGTGCGTCTTCACCAAGTTTCAGAACGTCGGTACTGATGGAACCGTGCCGCACAGTCGCTCTACCAATTCAGAGAAGCCGAAGAAGAAGTTTGGGACATGAAAGGATCCAGGTGTTGATGCTGTATCCTCGATAATAATGGACATTTTGAAGATACGAAATGGTTGACGGTGTGAGTCTCATTGTGCCTTTGTTGATGACAAAATGGCACGTGAGGTGAAGCACGTCGTAAAGCGTTCCCATTCGACTTGTTTTCCGTCCTCCCCTACACTGGAAGTCTCGTGACGTCTTCTCCGATCTATAAAAAACAGTGCCGCGAGCAGTCGTTGAAGGCAAAATAAGGACTTCGTCGCTCTACCAATGTCCTGTATCAACGGAAGCCTTCTACGCGAGTCTGATGCACTGTCCTCAGTACACTGACGTGAATAATGCGGGAGCAGTGCAAGCTCTGTTGTCTCTCATCGAGATTTCAAGTCGCAGTAGCCGCCTGAGATGAGACTTACACTGATAGACGTGTTTTTGAATGCTGATCTCACACCAGCTTTTCAAATTTGTCGAACGGTTCTCTGAAAGTAGTTGTAAAGGCGATTTTGTATGAAAGTTAGCATAAGCGAAACCAAATTTTATGGTTGTATCAGAGCGCTCAGAGCAGTTGTAAGAGTGACGCTTCATGTGGGAGGCCGGGGCTCGTTTTTTTTCAGAGGCCGAGATCTCTTCATTATATTGGCTTTTCCTTGTGTCCTGGAAATTCCTTTTATGTTAATTAGACCGAGTTCTATGGACTTTTGTGCTTTTTGTGACATCTTTCCTGCTTAGGTCATGTGAGTCGCTGCAATTTTTCTGCATGTTTGTTCACTCTCAATTCGCAGAAAGTACTCTTTATCAATTTATGAACATATGATGCACGAAATGTCAGGAACAAAAACGTTTCTCTCGATTG